TCGCTTGGATGCACATGCTTAACAAGACATCGGAGCTGTTCTGTTAAACTTGCATGGTATCAGACTTGTACAGGCTCCCATTTACACAATCTATGATGAACAATTTGGAAAAGGAAGAAAGTCTATCTGTCCACATATACTTGGGACGGCGACACCCCGGTACCGTCACCTACTGGTAGGCCACCACTCCCATCGACTGGGACATTGCTCATGTGATCAAACGCTGTTGCAGTTGTATTGACCAACACCCCAACGCCCCTGTCATCTCTGAACGAATTCTCGGCGAAACGGACGCCTGCGCCCTCATCATGAGCTACGAAAGAATCGGGAGGAAGTTCGTGCTAAGATGACCAGAGATGCGATGCCGTTTAGCAAGCAAGAGGCAAGTACTGATATGTTCAAGTGCGGAAAATGCAAGCAAAGAAAATGTACTTATTACCAGATGCAGACCCGGTCCGCAGATAAACCATTAACGACCTTTGTCTCATGCGTACATTGCGGTAATCATGGGAGGTTTTGAGCTTTCACTTCTCGGTCCAAACAACCCATCCGCTACCCCTTCTTCCCCTCATACCCTCCATTCCACCGCTTCAGTACAAAAGTTGAGAGAGCTTCGGTGAAATTGAGACTACTTGTACGAGTAGATAGGACGGGTGACAAAACATGTATCCCTGTAAACTTTGGCTTTTCTCAATAATCAGCGTGCTACGGAGCAGCTCTCAAAACTAGTGTACAACAACAACGATAAGTGACGTAAATGTGGGCCTCAAAGCTCTGGTAAACACTTGGACATTGCACAAATGGCATGTATGGCGCATTATCTGCAAAAATTGAGCAATTCGTATGAAACTACTGGTCCTCCAGAAACAGTGTTTCTGGCCGGCATGAGTGTCTCATTTGTAGGGCGTCCGCAGCGCAGATATTCTTGTCAAATATCCTGCGCCTCGGCCTGCGCCTCGACCACTTTCTCCGATAGTCACCCCACAAAAATCCATCCTCCGGAAGTATCCCTCGCACCGCAGCTCGCTTTTCACTGTCACCCTCTGTTCTTTCCCCTTTTTCTCTGCCATATTTTGGCGGGATAATGCGATCTTTTCCGCCAGACGCCAGAAAGGCCCTGCATCACTTTGGGACAATCATCATCAACGAAACGCCCGTAATTGACGTCTTTTGTTGCGCTCATCCCGGAGATACGGCGGACGAAAGTGACGAGCCCACTTTGCGCAATATACAAAAGCGTTTCAAGAAGCTCTCTTTTCTTGTTCATCCGGACAGATGTGTGTCGGATCGCTCCTCCGCGAATAAAGCTATGCAAAAGCTCACTCGCGCAAAAGAACAAGCTGAGAGAGACATTCGTTTTGATGAGATGGAAAACGGGGAAGATGCTTCAAATTTGGTTCCCGCAACACTACTTTTTACACTCATTCCAACCTCGAAGGAGAAACTACTCGAACTCATGTTAAGGGAGGAAAGGGAGAATATTCGAAGAAAGGTCATGGCTGAGGAGGAGGAAATGTCTTCTCAAGCGGAAAAAGGCGAGGATAGGAGCAAAGAAACGGACAAAAGTGAAGAAAGGGAAAAGAGGGAGGGGCGTCGCAATCGTGAAGAAAGGATGCAAGAAGAAAGAGCTCAGGAGTTGAGACGTAAAAGGGAGCAGGGGCTAGAGGAGGAGAGAGTACGTGCGAAGAGGGAGGAAGCGGAGAGAGAAAAAGAGCAGGCATTGGAGGAAGAGAGGGAAAGAAAAGGCTCAGCGGAAAGTGAATGGGGACATCAGCGGAGGGAGAAGGAAATGAGACAAGAATGGGAAACGGAAGACGAAGACATATGTCAGGTGGAAAAGCCTGAGACGATTACGCAAAGGCGGGAACGGATGGCTAGGGAGCGCAGAGAGAAGAGAATGTCTTATCAGGAACGAGCACGTATGGATAATGAGGCGCGGAAACGAGAAGAGAGGCAGAGGAGGGAAAGAAGGGATCGTCATGAATCAAGGAGCCAAGGAGGGGCTCGGAATAATTCCCCCAGGATCCATACATCTTCGTTTGACGGAACCGATTTTATGACCGATGTCCTGGGTAGAGAGTTTGAATCTAAAATGGGTCACGGCCCAGATGGTGAGGAAGCGGAGTTCGTTGGGGCGCCTGACGATGATTGGGATAGAGAGGGGGGTGACGGGGTGAACTCGGATGAGGAAGAGGACGATGAGGATGTTGATGCCGAAGAAGAAAGTTCGATGGAAGATGAAGCAGATTCCTCTCGTTCCCCTCGCCCGGAATGTATTCACGACGATGACTTTGATTTCGGAGCGTACATAGCCGTCACGCCTGAAGACACCAGCAGCAATGGAGAAGCTTGTGATGCAGCAGCTGCGGCTGAAAGGGTGTTGCCAGTTGACCTCAGAACTTTGTCTGAAGACGAACAGAAGAAACGGCGAGCGGAACAAAAGAGAGCTTCAAAAAAGAGAAGTCAGCGGAAGGCAATGGCGGAAATAGCGGCGGATAGAGTAGCAGAGATGACGTGGGTTCCCCGGCGATGCGTCCCGTATACCCCTGAGGTTGGGATTCAGCTTTCCGGAAGATGGCGCTGCGAGCAGCTCATTCGAGTTGCCAGTTGACGTCAGAACTTTGTCTGAAGACGAACAGAAGAAACGGCGAGCGGAACAAAAGAGAGCTTCGACGAAAGCATTGTGCCGCAACTCTCACTTTTAATCGGCAACCGAAATCGGGATTGTGGAAGTTGAATCGGTTCCAAGAGCACGAAAACCAGTGCTATGGGCAGTCAGTCGACAGAAAGTCCTGTCAAATTAGACCGGCTTATACCGCTGAGCAGACCGCACGGGCGCTTCGTGATGAGTTCGCCTTGAACCCTGACATGCCCACCAGCGTCCTAGCGTCCATTTTAAGGGCGAAGTCAATTTACCGTCGACAACCAGCAAACTCACACATTCGCGCTGTGAGGCGCGAGCTGAACAGATACATCTCAGCTGCTCGAGCCGTTGACATGGCTGCCCTGGAAGGATACTCTGATCTGTTGAGGGAATTGGGGCACAGGGTGGACATTTTCATCTTGTCCGGTACGGAAATGAAGGCGCAGCGCATCAAGGCTGCACGATTCATATACAAACAACAGCAAAAACTTTCATACTCTGAAAAACTAAGATCCCTACAATCCGGGTTTAATGTAGAGGATGTGGACGTCTCGGATATTGCGGATGAGGGTAAATATTATGGCGGGTTCCTCTTCGTCCCGATGGTTGCAGAAGCTTTCTGTAGAAAGGGCAGGATGACATGCGCAGCGGATGCCGCTCATTGCGAGGGTTTGGGCCGCCGTTCTTACGGAACCACATTTGAAGTGTTCGGATACGACACTAACCATCAACTCTGCCCCTTGGTGTTCGCCCATTTCGTGGGAGCTGAGGGAATGGACACATGGGAGAAAGTTTTTGCTGCCGCCGCGGATATCCCAGGGTTTGATGTACCAACGAGGACGACAATTGTCGACCAGGAGAAATCTATCGACTCAGCGTACAAGCGGTGCATGCAGCACGCGAAGTTGTTCCTGGACCCACTGCATGTCCGAAAAAATCTCGCTACAGCACTGGGTGCGGGAAAGGTTGTTGGTGTGCGCATGTACGATAAAGCGCTTCGAAACCCAAGCAGGGATGAGGTTATTCAAGCCAAAAAAGACTTCCCGATGAAGATGTCAGATTACCTTAATAGGTTTGATGACAGTGAGCTGTACAGAGCATGCTCGATGTTGCAAGATCTAATCACGACATCTCAAGGAGCTGAAAGTGGTATGTCCGCCGCCCTGCGAAACCACATCAGGACAGTGGAGCCTCAAAAGATGCTGGAGAAAGTTGTGTCGACACAGCGAACTGCCTTTTTGAAGCGGCAAGCAACTGCAATGAACTGCAAGAGTCCCGTACCACCTCACATTGAACAACGTCTTGCGCTACTCATTCAGAGATCAAGAGTTTATAAGGAGTCTGTTAGGTTTGTAGAGGGAACGGGGCAAATGGAGGCGACGGTACGAAGCGTGGTGGACGGAACGCGTTTGAGGCATGTAGTCATGCGTTCAGAGCCAAACACGCCCCCTTCATGCTGCATGCATTCACGAGATGGTTCCGGTTTTCCTTGCTATCACGGAACGGCTGTCATATGTGAGAAGTACGGATCTAATAATTTGTATAAGCACGTTGCGCGACGACATTTGACGAAAGCATGGAAAGAGAATTACTACAGCTTGTGTTACTCAATGCCGGCGCAATACTCTGTCGACAAAGTTATCAAACAAGCGAAACGGTTAGTAGCTTTTGGTCAGAACTTAAGAATTCCCAAAGCTATCCCTCCTCCTCGTGGGAGGCCAGTGAAAAACGCGGGAAAACGTAAGAAGAGCTGGTATGAGAACGGACCTGCGCCATCAAAGAGGAAGTATACTTGCTCTCTTTGTCGTTCTGAGACGCATACTGTCACTGATTGTGCACTGAGACAGCTTTATGGGGATGAAAACACTAGGTAAACATGCTTCCGTGGTATGGAAAATACGGAAAATACTGTATGTAATTGTATGTAGATAGAGTGGGTAGAAGTTGCCGGTGTTTCGCATATGAAGTCACCCTATATTTCCAACTGAAATCACATCAATCTCAGAAAACGATCCAATGTCGCCCTATAGACACAGACAAAGATCGGCATGTTTCAACATGTCGTTTTCTTAGGGCGACGTCACCCTCGGAATTGGATGAATGAGGAACGTCACCCTTCAATGCCACCTCAATTGGGGTAGTCGCCCCCAAAACACCCCCAGGGCTAGAACTTCACCTCCCCAAGGGCATCAAAAGCCGCACCTGTCACCCCAAGATCCGCAAATGGCCCGCCCAAAGTTAAATAGAGTACATAGGGAGCTACCACTGCATAAATACTTCGGGTGGGATACTTCGGGTGGGATACTTCGAATGCTTCGGATGGGAACACAAAGTAAATACTATCTTGAGGACATCATCATTCCTCTTTCTGCCGCCGCCTTAATCGTGAAGGTCTCGACTCTGGTTCGCGTGCCGGTTCAACTTCATCGATCGAGCGCTTGCGAGCTTTCCGAACCGTCGCTTCGAGCCGGAAGACTCTTTGCAGAATTTTGGTAACTGTCGCCGAGCCTCCTATCAGCAACGCCGTTCCGCTTCGAATTTCCCCTTCCGTTTCCTTTTTTGGACACAGCGAGGGTTGGGGTTCCTCGCTTCTTCCTAGCTTTGGCCACGAATATCGCTGCACAGGTTTGACGTCAGTTGGCGATTTAGCTGGCCCTTTAGCCTGTGCATCAGAGTCAGGCGCCTTCCGCGGGCGTTGCTCTTCGAGAGGTGTGCTTCTTCGACCTCTCAATGCCGCTTGAGCAGTACGCCAGGCTCGCTCAGGGATCGACAATCCCGTCGGCGCTGACGGTTTTGAGGTTTCTGGCAGTGGAGTGGCGGAACGCGGTCGGCGAGTTGGTCTCGCGGCATGCTGCGGATTTGGAGCTTCAGGTGTGGGCATCCTGGTATAAAACAGTATGTAAGCGTCCTGCTTCATCACGGTTTCTGCGGAGACTTGTACGGAGCGCGCGTCATCCTTCCGATACCAGCGTCCATCCCTACCGCGAACAAAAGCGAAGTAGTGCCCACTCTTGCTGGTGCCCGTGTGCACCACAACTGAGGACAGTCTGTACGTCGGTGCGGGGCAATCCGGCTTACCAGGCATGTAGGGGGCGAGATTCAAGAGGGCGGGATACTGCACAAAGCCATGGGTCTTTTTCCCCGCCCAGTTAAAGCGCTTAAGGTGAAGGGTGAGGACGTTGGGGGCCCTACGGATGGTAGTGCGCTTGTTAGCACGCACCTTGTGTCCACAAGCGTCGCAGCGGTACTGATTGGCGCCATGCAGTTGCTCCGGTGCGGTGAACTTGTTGAGGGCCGGAATGATGCCCATCTTCCCAGGGGAGAGGTCAAGGCTCATATCCAAAAAGGGTTCGACGGTGTTGGAACGGTGATTGCATTTGGTACAATGGATACAAGTCTGGAACATGCCTCCAAAAATGCGATGGACGCTCGAAAGCATCTCCTGGTGTCTTGTAATGCGGACCTTGTTCTTATCAGCCAAGCAGCCAAAGGTCTCTCGCAGGGCAATGTTTTCCAAGAGGCCGCGCAAAAACTCGTGGGCATCCTCCTGCTGGCCCAGTCGAAAGCCTTTACACACGTGCCTCAATCTCTTTCCAAATGGGACGGGGGCGATAACGCCCTTCTTCTCTAATATATCGGCAGCCAGGGCCTGGAGGGCGCACAAGACGCAGTTGGTCTCCTCCAGCGGCCTCTTCGAGAGGTGTACCTTGCGCATAAACAGGGCGGCGACGGGCGGGCAGTGCAGCAGGGCCTGCAGTGCGGCGTTCATGAAGCAAGAATTGCCGATATTGGCCAAGCCGGGGCCCTGTGCCAGGCCGACGACGCCGCGGAAGCGGTGCGAGTCCCACAGCAGCGGGAGGTCGGGGTGCTCCGGGGTGACCCAGCGGCCGCTGAAGCCGAGCTGGGCGACGATGGGGTCGCAGCGCGGCGTGGGCGGCAGCGGGTCGGGCTTCAGCGCGTGGTGCGCGCGCCGAGTCGCCGGCGACAGAGGCCGCGCCGCCGAGTGGTAGTGCTTCGGCGGCGCGACGGGCGACTCGTTGTAGTACCCCGCGACCAGCTGCACGGCCGGCATGGTGCGATCGGGGGGGGGGGGGGGGGGGGGGGGGAAAACGGATTGTTGCTTGCCCTCCACTCGAATATGTGTGACTCCAAATGGCTCAATTGATAGTGAAGTCATCAAAGATGCACTGGAGCACGTGAAAAAGTTCATTCGCAAGCATGTTTGCCCCGAAAAAAAAGTTGTGCT